AAAAAAAAAAAAAAAAAGAATTTGATGCTTATCCTTCTAGTTCCCTTTTTATACAGTTACACTTGTACACGCCTAGGCATATATCTATGAACAGTATATAGTATTTTTATTTTATATAAATGGTATCATCCTATATGGATCACTCTCCATCTTGTTTTGGTCATTCAGCCTACTGTCATTTCTGAGATCTACTCATGTCGAATACACCAATCTAGTTTGCTTCTATAAATGATTATACCAAAAGTTATCCATCTATTTTCCTGTTAACCTATGTTGAGGAATTGTTTCTGATATTTGCCATCATAGGGAATGCTGTACTCAGTGTGTGTCCCTGGCACGCATATGTGAGAATTTCTGCTGGTCACAATATACCCCTAGGAGTGGAATTGTTCCACTTACTGGAAACTTACATCTTCCATGTACTGGAAACTGCCAAATTATTTCTGCTGGATGGCTCCACAGCGTTTGTACCAGGATTTACTTCAATCAATAATACAGAAGAGTTTTCCTTTCCCCATATCATCACCAACACTTGACATTACCAGATTTAAACATTTTTGCCCATAGGATGGGTATAAAATTACATCTTATCGTTAATTTTCATTTAAACAACTTTTTAAAATACACCCATCATTTTTATTTTATTTTTATTTTTTGAGACAGTCTCAGTCTGTTACCCTGGGTAGAGTGTCATGGTGTTATTAGAGCTCACAGCAACTTCAAACTCTTGAGCTTAAGCAATCCTCTTGCCTCAGCCTCCCAAGTAGTTGAGACTACAGGTGTACAGCACCAGGCCTTTTCTATTTCTAGTAGAGACAGGGCCTCGCTCTTGCTGAGGCTGGTCTTGAACTCCTGAGCTCAACCAATCCACCCACTTTGGCCTCCCAAAGTGCTAAGATTACAGGAATGAGCCACCATGCCCAGCCTTTTTAATTTTTTTTATTTTGAGAGAGAGATTCACTCTGTTGCCCAGGCTAGAGTGCTGTGGCATCAGCCTAGCTCACAGCAACCTCAAACTCTTGGGTTCAAGCAATTCTTCTGTCTTAGGCTGCTGAGTAGCCGGGACTGTAGGTGCCAACCACAACACTCAGCTAATTTCTTATTTTTAGTAGAGACGAGGTCTTGCTCTTGGTCAGGCTGGTCAACTCCTGGGCTCAACCAATCCATCCACTTTGGTCTCCCAAAGTGCTAGGATTACAGGCATGAGCCACTGCAATGTTTTTAGTAGACTGGATTAACCACGGCAAAGTAGCACAATGTTGTGCCTAACTCTCAGTGGCTGAGATTATCCACAAGACAAGACACCATTGATAAAATGTAGACTTTAGTGGGGTGAGAGCTCAGTGCTCAGGGAGGGAACCCCTTGCTGGTCTGACCTCTTACCTCTTCCTTAGTGTAGTATTTCAGGAGGCCTTCTCGTGCCAGGAGGACAAACTTTCTTCTTAGGAACTGTGCGTTGTCCCTTCCCCGCTTCCATAGGAATCCTTCTCGGTTACCTTTACCACCAAAGATCAGAAAAAGTGAACATCGTGACCTTGAGGTGCATAAGCAGCTCACAAAACTCACAGGGTCTCAGGGTGGAATGAGCCCTCCACCTGTTGCCCAAGTATCTCCAACTGAACTTGGCTATTTCAGCTGCAAGACACAGAGGTCCCATCTGGGGCCAATTTTATAATGTCCTGTCATTTCGGTTGGATTTCCTCCACTATGCAAAACCTTCCTTCCTGGCTTTCCATGGCACAAGGCTATCTCATAAGAAGACCTAACAAACCCATAAGACGGCTAAATGCTGAGAAACTAGATTGACTCTGCAAGAGGTCTAATAGGCTGGGGGCCACCTGTAGCTTAGTGGTTAGGGTGCTGGCCACATGGTCAGGGGCCGGTGGGTTTGAACCCAGCCCAGGCCTGCTAAACAAAAAATAACAACCAAAAAAAAAAAAAAATAGCCAGGCATTGTGGCAGGCACCTGTAGTCCCAGCTACTTGGGAGACTGAGGCAAGAGAATTGTTTAAGCCCAATAGTTAGAGGTTGCTGTGAGCTGTTATGGCATGGTGCTCTACCAAGGGTGAGAAAGTGAAACTCTGTTTCCAAAGAAAAAAAAAAAAGAGGCCTAAGTAGACATGGGCCTCCCCAAGTTCACATTAATATCTAACTAATGAAACTTTAGGAATAATTAGTAACCTCTAGGCTTCTGCTGGTTTGAAGAATAACCTATACTTCTGATAGCAGGAAATCTGAGCACTGGTTGCCTCTGGTCTTCAGAGAGTGGTTCTGAACACTCCTCTTGTGTGGGTCAGTGTCAGCCTGGACTTGGCGGGCAGGGTGAAACTGCCACAGGTCCAAGGCCACTAATGAGGTTGTACTCTGCATAATGGCAGAGAGGAAGGGTGAGATCCAGCCCATGCTCCTCAGCAAGCCTCAAACTGCACCAGGAGCAACATGAGCCAGGGGCAGGGGTCCCTTTTCCTATCTGGTCTGCTCAGTGGAGGTATTTTCTTGCAATTTATACCAAGACTCTGTGCATGCTGCATGCTTGTGACCCTGTAAGGACGTGTGAAAAATATGCTTCTCAGCTCGGCACCTATAGCTCAGTGGCTAGGGCGCCAGCCACATACATTGGAGCTGGTGGGTTCGAATCCAGCCGAGGCCGCCTGCCAAACAACAATGACAACTACAACCTCCCCCCACTAAAAAAGCCAGGCATTGTGGCAGGCACCTGTAGTCCCAGCTACTTGGGAGACTGAGGCAAGAGAATTGTTTAAGCCCAATAGTTAGAGGTTGCTGTGAGCTGTGACACCACAGCACTCTACTGAGGGTGACAACATGAGACTCTGTCTCAAAAAAAAAAAGAAAAGAAAAGAAAAATATGTTTCTCTGCTGCTCAAACCATAAAACCCCACCAACTGATGTGTTGTTATTTAAAAGTCAAAGGAACCCACGCTTGATCTCTGTGGTCAAAGCAAGGGCAGTGGGCTTCTCTTGGATAGGTCTTGCTGCTAACATTCAGGTACTTTATTTTCTAAAACTCATTATAACATAGACCTAAAAAGATGATGAAAATAACTTTACCTGGGGGTGGGATGGTTTTCCCGTCAGCCATAAACTCCTGTCTCTCATACTTAGCTCGAATCCATTGTTCCTTTAAGACCCTACAGGGAGAGAACTTTTGGTCAGGTGTGTCTGGTGCATTCTTTTCCCCTAGTAACTTTCCAAGCCCCTGCAGTTGAGAAGGGGAAACATCACAGTGGCTACCTTGCTGCCTGCTGAGGCTACCCAGGCTTTCTCAGTCTCAGTACAGTTAACATTTGGCGGTGGATAATTCTTTGTTGTGAGGGGTCTGTCCCATGCTTCGTATAGTAGCATCTCTGGCCTCTGCCCATGAGATGCCAGCAGCACACCTTTCCCAGTTGTGACACCCCAAAATGTCTTTAGACACTGCCAGCATCTCCTAGGAAGACATATTTCCCCCAGTGAGCTATAGGAGAGTCCCTGGGCTGGGCTTTTCCAACCCCAGTCTCAGCTCTCTAGGTCAATGAGCCAGGTACTGACTCCCCTGGGCCATCTACACTGCCTGCTCCCACTGCACGTTGATGAGCTAAGCCAGGAGAGTCTCAGAGCCTCTTCCTGTGGCCTGCTCATGAAATCTGGGCATGCTGCTCTAGGCAGAGCAGTGGTCTTGGGAACTGACCACCTCCACTCTATCATTTACCCACTGTGTGGCCAAGACCTGCCTACTTAACTCCTCTGACTCTGGGGAATATAGATCTACTCCCAGGGTTGCTGAGATGTTTAAATGTATATAAAGGGCTGAGCATTACACTTAGCACGTAGCAGGTATTTAATGCTACCCCAATCAGGTATCATCACTCATGACCCCCACAGAAAACCATGCAGTCAAGAGTAAATTTAATTTAATTGTTTGGTTCCCTTTCATTTTTTCCAAGTAAATGTTCCAAGGTTTATACGACCTCACACCATAGCCATGAGAATCACCTAGACTAGGGCAGATGGCATTCAGAGCTCTGGACTCTCCTGTAATGTGTGAATGAAAAGGACCAAAACTGTGGGAGAGACTGATGGGAAGCCCTCTCCGGGGCCACACTGGGAGGTGTAGCCTGGCTCTGGGCTTGTTGCTAGTTGGCCAAAGCCAGACTGGCTGGGAGAAAGGTAAGGACCGAGAGTCAGAGTGTGTGAGAGAACTGATCATGTTTGAGCTCCTGGACTGGTCCTTCCTAAAGCAGGCTCCAGCTTGGTCCTTCCTGTTGTCTGATCCCCAGAACCCATAAAATCCTCTTCTGCCTAAGTTGGTTTAAATTGCGTTTCCGTCACTTACAATCAGGAGTCCTTCCTAATGCTCAGCCCTCACCCAGGACATGGGGATGGGTCACTGGTTCAGAGCTAGGAGAGGGAATGGAGACTAAGGGCCACCAATCCGGGACCTGGAGGTGGGGATTTAGAGAACTTTTAGCATTGAGGGGGGAGGCAGCCATTAGGACTCAGCTAAAAAAGGTTAAAGTTCAGCCTGCTGTAGGGCTGTGACAAGTAATAAGTATATGGTGCCAGCAGAAACCCTGGCACATGGTAGATGCTTATCGAGAGCTTAAAGAGGCAGCAGACAGAATGAGACAGGCCCTCTCAAGTTGAGCTAGCACTTCCCGAAGCAGGGCCAGGGCCTGGCAATATTCTGAAACTGACAATGGAGATATGGATTAAAATCAGCACATAAGGTGGCATGTGAGAGGTTTTATATGAATTATGTCATGTGATCTTTACAACCATGCTAAGATGCAGGCAACATGGTCTGTATTTCAGAGATGAGCATACTGATAATCAGAAGTTTGGTACCTTGTCCACCTCCTTACAGCTGGGTAGGGTAGAGTCAGGAAATAAAACCAAAGTCTTCTGAGTAGAAAGCTATACTTCCCCAGCAACTCTACTGACATCAGTAGCGCTTGGGTTGACTAAGTACTGAGGAATTGCAAAACCACCAGGTACAGTTGTGTAGTTTGCACACTGCCCAAACGTACCCTGCTGAGGCGAGGGAGCCACAATGCAGCTTGCTCTCTGTTTACCAGCCATGCCCTGAGAGAGATACCTTCTCATGTACACAAGGTACTGACTAGCATCCCTGGTGGTGAGTCTGCATCTCTGGGAAGGCTGTCTAGGCTTAGACAGTCTAGTCCTACAGAGGTCCAGTATCGTACTGACCACCCAAATCCAAGGCACCTTTCACACACACCCCCATCATATCAGATTCTCCCAGAACCATAATATAGTCACCCAGGCCCTGATGTCTGGTGGGAAGACATCAGGGCCTGGGTGACTAAATTAAGGGCCAGGTCTACCTCTATAAAACTCAGACTTTTCATCTATATCATAGGGATAATAGCAGTACTTATCTCAAAGGGTTGTTGAGAGAATTAAATTAAGACACATAAGCATTCACCACAGAGCCTGGAACAGAGGCAAAGCTTAATAAAGATTAGTAGCTACTATTACATTTGTGGTTATTATTTAGGAATTTGGAGCTCAGTTACTTGGAGTCAACATAAGCTTAGGTGGGACAGCCCAAGGGCATATTACTCAATAGGAACTCACTGAAACACACTTAAAATTAAAATACCAGCATTTATCTTCTCTCTCACATTAGTCACTATCTGTAGACTTGAAGAGCATCAGAGGGAAAGCAACCCCCCATTTCACAGCTGTAAAAACTGAGGCCCAAAGAAGGGAAGTGACATGCCCAGGCAATAGAAGTAGAAAGAGGCTTAAACTAGGTCTTTTGTGTCCTCTCCATGATAGAGCCAAAGGCTTTCCTGGATCTTTCTCTTCCATAGAAGAGACCACCACAGTCAGAGAAGGGCTGAGGCAGGTGCAATCAGGAATACTCCCTCACCCAGTCCCTAAAGAATCCCCCACTCACATGCAGTCATTGGCCTGGGGGATGTAGTAGAAAACCGGAACTCTGGCTTCAAACTTGGCTTTTACGCGGAGGTTCCCATTGTGGGTCATAAACTGCAAGACAAGAACAACTCGAGGTAATATTAGAACTTGAAGAAAACATGAAATGAAACTGTGGTCTACTCAGAAGGCCATTGGTCTCAGTGACTTCTAAGCTGAGTCAGAAGAAACTGCCTCCAAGAAGGAGAGGTCCCACCAGGCTTGTTCATCCACACTGCTGGGAAGCCCTAGACCAAAGAGGGTAATAATAGTACACCACACTCAGGCACAGCACTCGACAGTTCTTACACATTGGCTTGTTGGATCCTTCCAACTATTTCATAGTACCATTCTCATCTGAGAGATGAGAAAAATGAGACTCAGACAGGTTAGGTGACTTGTGCAAGGAGATCTGAGATTTGAACCCAGATTTGACTCCAAAGCTCATATTCTTTCTCCAACTCCTTCCACAGATGGCTAGGACCTCAGCAGCCCTGAAAGTCTGCAGAATACCAATGTAGTTGGAGAATGGGAGAAGCAGGTGCTGGACCCATAGAATGCACTGGTCAGGATGATTAATGGGGCCCCTTGGCATCCAAGAGACTCAGAAGCTGATGTGCCCAGAGTGGCCTTGGCAGTATGGCATATCTGGGATGAAGGCAGGAATGAGATGAAACACCAGGTTGTTAACTCACACCCCTTGTGTAGAGTGAACCCTACTCTCCTCCTATGCAGGGCCTGCTGGGCTGGGTCACAGGATTTGCACCAGCTTTGGACCCAACAGAGCAGAGTTCAAATCCTGACTCTGCCATTTATTCCCTGGGTGACCTGTGGGCTCTCACCTGTAAAAAGGAAGAAAATGTAACAGGGGAGTTATAAGGCACAAATAAAAACCCTGCCAGTCTGGCTCTGCACCTGTAGCTCAGCGCCTAGGGTGCCAGCCACATACACCATGTGGGTGGGTATGAATCCAGCCCGGGCCTGTCAAACAACAATGACAACTACAACCAAAAAACAGTCTGGCTTTGTGGTGGGCACCTGTAGTCTCAGCTACCGGGGAGGTTGAGGCAAGAGAATTACTTAAGCCCAAGAGTTCGAGGTTGCCCTGAGTTGTGATGCCACCACACTGTACCTGGGGTGACATAGTGAGACTCTCTTAAAAAAACAAACAAACAAGAAAACCCCTCCAGTTTTCCCTCTTCCTGGCTGGGGTAGCGGCTGTAGGCCCACAAACCAAAGTAGGTTATTTCCCTTCCTCATTCCAGGATGTCCGCTAATGACGCCCGCAATTGTTAATTGACTAAACTGTTCTTGGTCTGAGCCTACACTGAATCCTTACAGCAGCCAGCAAGTGTGGTGGGTTCTCTGTGCTACGGCTGTAGAAACCAAAGGGTCACAGCTGGGATTAAGTAAGTAGCTCCAGGCCTCACAGTTTGGAAATAAGCAAGTGATGGCGTCCGAATTTGAACTCAGGGCCTCTGTCCAAGCCACGAGAAGAACTGCCCTTGTCTGGGCCTCAATTTCCTCCTCTGTAATCATAGGAGTGTCCCGCCCACCACCTCCACCCCAGCTCTGCCTCGCAAGGCTCTCCCCAGGCACGCCCCTGTACCTCCACAATACTGTCGTCCCAGAAGTCAAGTCTCACGGATTTAACTTTGCTGATGTCGGGGAAATTGCGATGGACGCCGGAGCAATTGAGACAGATGAAGATGCCCAGCTTGTAAGAGGCCCAGTCAGGATCTGCGGGGCGAGACGGCGGGAGGGGAGCTGAGCAGAGGGCAAGGCGAGCAAACCAAATCTGGGCTGGGGCTCGGGGTCAGGCAGGGTCTAACAGGATTCTGGGGGCGGTGACCAGCTTAGTCCACGCCTGGAACCTCTTCTCTCTTGCTCTCCCCACCTACGGGTAACTAAGTTCTACCAGCAGGGAACCTTTCGGTCAGCCAGGCCGCCGTGGCGACCACAGTGATGATTTCGGAGAGTGTCTAGGCGAGAGGCTGGGGCAGCACTACGTGGAAGTACCAGGCCTCGGGGGAACCGAGAGGAGGGCGCGGAGGGAGGGACCCACAAGTGGGGAGGTCTGAGTCAGGGCCCTTGGGCGTCCGCGGGGTCTGAGCGCTGTGCAGTGGGAGCTGCGGGAGGACCTCGGGGCGTCCGGGGCCAGCAGGGGGCACGGGATAAACCAGAGAAGACTTGGGTCCGAAGTCTGAGGTCCCTCGTGTGTGGGATGTTTGTGTCCCAGGGCATGGAGCGTGCCTGGGTCCGAGGGAATATCCCAAGATCCGGGGGCCAGGGAGCAGAACCCTCAGGACTCCCGGCTGTGGGATCTAGGGTCGAAAGATCCTTGTCAGATTCAGAGTGGGGAGGTTCGGGTGGGCGGGGAGTTGGACGCCCACAGGACTGCGGCTCGGAGGTTCAGTCTGGGTGGCAGAGGGTACGGGTCCGAAGACGTAAAGAGAGTCACCTCGGGGTCCTACGGGGCCGGGGGAGGGTCCCAGTATGGTGGGAGGGAGGAGTCCGGCGGGCCGGGGTCCGGCTGGGGGTCCCTTACCCGCCGCCCCGCAGTCGGCGCAGTGCGCGTTGCCGGTGCCCGCCGCCTGCAGCAGCTCCAGCAGCCGCTTCTTGTTGCGCTCACGGTCGCCCATGGCCCGCTCGGCGGGCTCCGCGGAGCTCAGCAGGGCTCAGCCCTGCAGCCCCCCGGCCGGTGACGGCCCATGGTCCGTACGGTCGGCGGGGAGGCAGGAGAGGGTCCAGCCCGCAGCGCCCCAGCTCCGCCCCTCCAGGACGTTCCGCCCCTCCCTCGGCCAGCCCAGGCCGGCCCTGAGCTCCGCCGACCCGCAGGGAGGGACGAACTTGGGTGGCATATCCCGGTCCGAGATCACATCCTGGCCCGCCACTTGATAGCTGAGAGACTATGGACAACCTTTTCAACCTCTCTGGGCCTCAGTTTCCACCTCCGTAAAGAGGAACAAGGGCAAACGTCTGCATCTCGGGGTTCCTGGGAAAATTAAACAGAATCTAACTTCTGCTAAAGCGTTCTGCTGTCGTCAGATCTTACAACTACTGAGAGAGGTAGCTACACGCAATGCCACCTCCTCTGAAGTTCTCCTTAATACCCAGTCTCGAGAAGTCTCTACACCCCCTGGTCCCTCTAGAACACTGTTATAGAATCATATTTCTTTTGACCTTGAGCACTTTTTCTTTTTCTTTTTTTTTAGATGGTGTCTATCTCTGTCACCCACTCCGTGAATCCAGAGATCCCGGTTGAAGTACTTGTGGGAGGATTCATAGCCTCCCTGCAGCCTGGAACTCCTGGGCTCAAGTGATCCTCCTGCCTCAGCCTCCTGAGTAGCTGGGACTACAGGCGCCCACCATGATGCCTGGCTAACTTTGCTTCCTCTTTCTCCTTTTCTTCCTCCTCCCTCCACCCCCTCCTCATAGAGATGGGGGTCCCACTCTGTTGCTGTGTTGCTCTGGCTGGCCTCCCACTATCCTCCCCTCCTGGGCCTCCTAAAGCGTTGAGATTACAAGCAGTAAACCACTGCAGTGGCCACGGTCCGGAGCATTTTCTATCTTGCATCACAGTTATTTATATCCACCCCTTGCCACCAAACACATGGCCACACTGGAGATTTTAACCTCAGCGATTTTATTTCTGCATCCTTCAAAGCTCCTAGAAACAGCACCTGCACATGTTTAAGTCCGATAAATAGTTGCATGATTGCATTCACCGGAGAGGTGGACACACAGCTGGGCAGGTTGATCTGTGAAGTTCCATCTCCATGAGGTGAGGGTGGGGTGTAGGTGGTCATGAATGTGGGCATTTCATTAATCTCCTTCTCCTGTTCCAGAGCCTTGTCATTCCTTGACATCATCTTCAGTGACTCCAGGGGCTCCTGGTAAAATACATATTGTCCAGCCTCTCTCTCTCCTCTGCAGATAAACATGCATCTATCATATGCACAGGGCTTAATGCCCACAGGTGCCAGGTTGCCATCCTGATGGATTGCAGTTGACCTGTCCATACTCCCAACCAACACACCTGTGCAGGGCAGCATGGTATAACAGAATGAATCTAGGAACCCAGAAATTCAAACTTTATTTTATTTTATTCATGGTTTAAATGTTGACTGTGTCACTGCCCAGCTGTTTATCTTTGGGCAAGTTCTTTTACTTCCTTGAGTCTTAAACTTCTCATTTGTAAGATGAGGATTTCAGGATCCATTAAGAGGGTGGCCGACTTGGCACACAAAGCCCTCTAATACGGTTTGGAAGTGGTTCCCTTGCTTCTGCTATCCCTCTGGTCAACTAATGGAACTGTCATTTGGAATGCTGTTAGTTCCCATCCTCCCCAGGATGGAGGTCTAGCTGCTAGGACAGCAGGGGGTGGGGATGGAGAGAAATTCCCAAGAATAACCAGCCTTGAGGGGTCTTGCTTGTGAGGAGGTGAGGCCCAGCTCAGGCGCAGCCACAGAGGAAGCAGTGAGAGAGACAGCTGGGGTCAGGGGGCATGGGCTGTTTACTAAACAGACCAAAAGATGATTCATTTCTGTTGTTTTAGATGAAAAAAGAGACAGAAATAGATCTCCCATGAGAAAAATGGAAAAGGCAACCTAAAGTATGAAGGGAGAGGGGGTGGGTGGAAAGAGGAGACAAGCCAAGGGCATTTCTCATCTGCCTAAAGCTGGGGTGAACTGTGATGTTGGGGTGGCTCTTTGGCTCCTCAGCCTTCCCATTTCTGATCCTTTGCTCCTCTAAGCTGCTCTCCTCTGACACTTTGAGTCTCACTGCCCCCTGCCTGGGAGCCCCCCCAAAGCCAGACCAAGAGAAACTGTAATATCTGGTCAGGTGCGGTGGCTCACGCCTGTAATCCTAGCACTCTGGGAGACTGAGGCCAAAGGATTGCTTGAGGACTTTGAGATCAGCCTGAGCAAGAGCAAGACCACATCTCTACTAAAAATAGAAAAAA